GAAAATCAGAACTGAAACGTTTAAATGTTTGTTAATGCAAAATGAATAATAATGTTTTCCATTTATCAAATGCAATAGTAACGAAGATGTAACGTGACAAATAGCATGACCTTTTTTATCAATCGCGTTCATATAGCAGCTGATATGAAAATCTTGATATATTTCATAAGTCTTAACCGTAGTAAAACATGTTTTAAATAAAAATCGAATTTCTTCGAGGAGAGATTAAGTCTACCAAATTTTTTTTAGTAGACGCGTCAAAATTATCTTAAGGTCAACTTGGTTTTTTCTTTTAATGTTATATACATTTTTTAACCTATTTTTCTCGATGAATGTAAAGAAAAGATTAATATTTAGAGAATACTTAGATATCATTTAGAAAGTTATTTAAATGAATTTAATTTCCTAAATATGTGAACTTAATCTCTGTGGATAACAAGAGATTACTGTATACATAAATTTTATGAATGAGAGAACGACATATTTGAAATATTTACCAAAAGCAGATGGTATTGCACTCGTAGTCAGGCAAAACGAGCCTAAAACCTTCTATAAATTTGATTCTATCTTTAAAATATTCAGCAGCGGACATTGCTAATTGAACTGATGCATCCAAACCAATTGTGCCATGTGCTTTCCACATAAGCCAAAATTTCATAGCATCTACCTGCAAACAATTTTCATCGATTATTGATTACTTTATTAACCCAACATTTTGACATCTAATCATTATGTTGTTAGAGTAATACAAACCTTTCTACCGCATTGCACGCTCTTATCACCAGTGTCATAAGAAACGTCGTAAAATTTGTCCTGCTGAAAAAGATACTTCGCACCGGCACAATTAGTCTCGTGCAATGCTTTTTTACCTTTTACTAAAAATATTGAACACTGTAAAGGTACACCAAGCATTTTGTGTGGATTCCAGGAAACTGAATCGGATCTAAAATAAGAATGATCAAATTTGAACTTATGCTCGATTTTGTTCAAGATTTAACTCGATATATAAGTGTTACTCTTTAAATTCACCCTTTTGCAAATGAAATTGCAAGTCAAATTCACTTTGACTTGCAAAAAGGATAAATTTAAAGTGCAACTTCTATAATAAAAAGAATTACGAACAACTCAATCCCATACAAACGGTCCCGATAAGTGTTACAAAGCAGTAAAGTTCCACCTAGGCATGCCTGTTTAAATAATTTCATTAAGATTACAATAGACAACGCGTAATAGTTTATATAAACATATGTTTTTTCATAGAAATACTACGAACGTCAACATGCATCCAAAGAGACTCGTCCTTGCAAATACTAGCTATTTCTGGTAGTGGATCGAAAGCACCGAGAACTGTCGTTCCGCATGTTGCATTAACAAAAAATGGCAATTTTTTCTTACTCTTGGCCTCCTGTATTGCATTCCACAACTCTGTTGGTATCATCTTTCCGAACTCATCAGTCTTGATCTAAGACAAGTAAGAAGAAGATAACACCCTATATAGTTGGGATTCCAATTTTTTAATAATCACGTAAAATTTTCATTGTTACCGCACAGATTTACTGTTATTACATAAAATAATTAGCTTTTCTGATAAATTAGATTTCCACTTAAAAGTTAAATGTAAGATACAATGCATAGGAACCTTGTAAACTTGATCAGTCCCGATACCCAACCAATGAGCTGCCTTCATTATAGAATAATGACCTTCTTCACTGGTAAAACATGCCAAAGGAGGAAAAGCACTGGAACCCTTTTTCTTAATATCCGGTAATATCTTATATCTAGCCATTACCATGGCGTACATGTTAGATATACTACCACCTGGGCATAAAATCCCATCAGCATCCGGTGTTGATGGATAATCAACAAGCTTCAAACATTCGTTTATTATCTCTTGTTCAATCAACGTAAATACTGGACTTACTTCATACGTGTACCTTAGAAAGATTAATTAACAAACCATTAGAAAATGTTAAAGAACGAATTAATTTACAGAGTTGGCCAATAATTTATTGTTTTTTTACTATTTTTAGATTGCTAATTTGTACTCACGTACAAAATGCAAAAAAGATAACAGAAAAATATACTAAATTCATATAAAATGAATAATCTGTATAAATCGACAAACGGATGAATATATATCACAAATGATTGATTCCGTTCTAATCAAAAGTATAATTAATTATATCACGTTATTAATGATTATTCAATGAATCATGACCTTTGTTTACATGATTTTCATTACTTCTCTTATTTATCAATCAATGATTCTTCATTAATTAATAATAACGGATTATTTAATTAATAGGCTGATTTTACATTAAACATAATTTTCAATTATGAATAAGATTACAGTTTGCTAAACCTGTTGATAATACGAAACTTACTGACTCGTATTTAAAACTTCGGTAAGCCAAGAACCGGCAAGTCCATATTTATCCACACCGGCAAAAAGTTGATTGTGAAAGTTAGGACTAAAAGTTTTAACAGAATATTTGATTATTTTTCGTATTGCAGCCTCGATTTCTTCGGAAGTAGAACCATCATCTTTTAATCTAAATGATAATATTTCCTGAAAATGTACATAGAAATTTAATAAGAAAGATAATTCAATTTAAAAAGAGACAAAAATAAAATTTAGCGATCCTGAAAAATCTCAAATATAAATTTTCAGAAAGATTGAATAAATTTTTAATAAAACAGTCCTTTTTGTTTAAAAATAAAATAATATCAGATTCATAATCAGTGACCCCCGAAACCTTTAAATACCAATTTTCAACAAAATTAAACTACATCTTTATATCCATCCTGCATTGGGTCCATTGTGCATCGTGAACGCGTTAATCTGTTTGACATTTTATTTATAATTTTTTTTTATTACTTTTATTAAGAATTTTGAGGTCGACCATTTCGTTCTGATTGGCTAATCGCTAGAAAAGTCGATGAAACCATGGACTAATTTGAACGAGGTCGGTACATTGAAAATAATGATATCAGTAAGGAACTCTAAACATCGAACAAAAAATAGTTTTAAACCATTTGGAAAAAGCACAACACGAAATATGCAATAAACTTACTTCATTGTTTCATTAAAATACGAAGAAACGTTTTCCTCGACTCAATATAAAATTATAAAGTTTATCATATTTTAGTATCCAAATATTTTTTTGAGAGAGTTACTATATACTATATACTATATTAGATATTTTTAATGTACATATATTTTTTTAAATTAAACTAAACTTTTCTGGCAATTTAATCCTTATACATTATATCAGTGGTTCTCGTTCACAAAAAATCTGAAGTGTGCACATGTTACAAGTTGCAACATGTTACAAGATTTTCATAATCTTATTTTTATTTTCAATTCGATGTTATAAGATTCGATATCTAGTGAGCTTAGCGCAAAATAATTTTTAAAAAATTTCTACAAATAAAATGTGTATTATTTATTGTTAATAAATCCTTGAAAAAAAAAACTTTTATTTTTTTTGCAGGGTGAATTTTTACAAAAAATTTGGCATAGGACGTTTTGAGAAAACCTGAATTCAACAAAGATAACCGAAAATAGAGAAAGCTTGAAAACCACTGCATTAGGTTGCTTTAACAGTTTATACAAATTTTGAACAAAATTGATAATATATTTAAAAATATAAATTATATACATAATTATAAATCTGCATGAACTTTCCTGGTAACCCAATAGAAATATGATAATGCTCATGGAGTCAAAGATTGATGGTAAAATGCGAAACTGATAAAAGAGTGACGTGTATTAAGCATAAGTTCAACGAACGTGCATGCACATATACACATACACACACAATAATACTATCCATTTTATTGGAACAATCAAACGTTATTACAATACTTCTTCGAAACGTACGATATTCGTTAATCTAAAAATATATCGAGAATATTTCACAATACGAAATAAATACGAATAAATATTTGATGATTGAAATAGTTATTTGTATTTTTGAAAAGTAATATTTAACTGTAGGAGAAGAAAATATTTTTGATTGAAAAAAAGAACAAACGAGTTTAATAATAATTACTTTTCGATCCAGATTCATTATTTTTTCATGCGATTTCTTATAAATATTTTAAAAATAGAATAATTAATGCTCACATTTTATAATCACTTAACTAGAACTATTGTCGTTATTGATATTGTACTTATCAATAAATTTCATAATAGTATTGCAGCGATTTTGTAATTCATTGAATGATTTTAGGTTTCTGTCGAAATGTTTTAAAATTAGTAAAATATAAATAAATAAAATTTTATATATTTTTCTAGGAATGAAAAAACGCGTAAGATTTGTTATACTAATTGTGAATTTATTGTAAAAAAAAATTAAGAAACAATACGAGTAATATATATATATATCAATGATTTAGTATTTAGTACATAAGTACAAAAAAATATTCAGTTATTCTATTATCGAAAAGAAATTCTTCTTGCATAGTTGTGCAGATATAAATCAAAGTAAAAAATAAAATAAAAATTATACTTATTTCATATTATTTCGAAAAAATGTGCATTTCGCGTATCGTATTCTTCGTAAGTAATCGATGGCAATGAAAATATTTATATTTTACAATAATGTTTACAATAAACATAAACGCTGACGAACAACAAATTCTAACAATTGAAAAGTTACAAATAGACTACACTTTTCTCAGAAAATAATGACATTAAGGCTTGATTCGATCAAGGCTACAAAAAATATAAATATTTATATTAATTCAAATTTAAAGATAACGATCTCGTACAACAATTATTAGTTATATAATATTTCGTTAGTGTAAAACGCACAATTTTATTTGCAAGTAAAAAGAATATTTACTTTTCCGTGTATTATCCACAACAGTTTACATATGAGTAAACTGATCTACCTTACACTTTTCAATCTCAACCAATACAAGTCATTATCGTAAATCAACAATTCATATGTTTGCTTTTTTTAAAGTAATGTAACTTAATATTTTAAACACAATTACTATCTATTATTTACCTTGAGATCAGTAGGATGACGAAAATTAACTACCGAATGAGCATTAGGATTAAAGATTTTTTCTTCTTTAAGGATCCTTAGAAGATCTTCGAGCAAGTTAAGTGTCCCGTTATCGTTACAAGTCTCAGACATCGTGAAAGTCGTACTGAGGACTTCGCTCAAGCCGAAAGCTGTTCTTACCATGGGATTTGGTATGTAGTAGTATTTATATGTGTAAGTAAGTACGTATACTTATTTGTAAACATGAGACAGACGAAGGAGCTACTAAACAAGAGAGAGAAAGAGAGAGAGAGAATAAATGTTCGTATCATTAAAATGCGTGCGCAAGAAACAGCCTAATCAAATGAATTCACTCTGTCATCCTTCCATTTTTTATCTCTTTTACTTCTGATTTTTTTTTTTATTTAACTCAATTGTTTATATTACTATAAAGATAAGAACATATCTGATCGGATTAAAACAAATCAAGGTAATTCAAATAATTCTAAATGTTTAATTCATTTTTTCGAATTATTCTTGATATTGATCAATTTGCATTGTTATTTTTATTTTCATTTATTTATTGTATTATTATTATTGTTATTATTATTAGATGGTAAACGAGATTCCTGGCGTTCTCTGTGAATACTGGCAGAGCTGGATAAAATACTATTGGAAATCGTAAATATTAAATAAATCTTTTATTTTACACTATGCACACATATATTTTTGAAAATAAAATATTGCATTTATTCAATAATCTATTATTTCAAATAGTATTTAAAATAGAAATTAGTCAAGTACAAGTACAAGTACTGTTCTGTTTTACCGACGTTCGGATACACCCTGTGTATTTTTGATGCCATTATTATCCGCTAATTGGCGGTCGCGGCGTTTGATATCAAATTAAAAGAAACTTACATATCTTATTTGAGATTTGAAGTACATGCCTTAAAAATGGCGGGAGAATAGTTTGCAAAAGTTTGTGAATTAAGTTTAACGTATTGTAAATAATATATTTTATGTATTTATATGTAATGTCGTGTTGATTATGGAAATCTCGGATAATTTACCCAGCACTAGTCAACAAATATTGCAGGCACCGCAATGTACACCTAGATTAACATTTACTGTAGAGAAAGAACAGTTGGATAATGAAATTGACTCATATTCTCAAGGTAGAGTAATTAAATACAATGTATATTTTTCTTTACGTAAAATCACATATAATTATAATAAATTTGACAGTGTCACATTAACTTCATATTATAGATATAATATCTTTAACTTGGAATGTATTTGGAGTATCAGCATTGTTTGGATTTCAATATGATGATAAAACTAATCTTAAGTTATATGGAAAACGATTGAGAGAAGAAATAGCATCTAATTTATCGCATGAAAATGAAATATATATTGCTAAGGTTTCTATTGTAGGAGATGCAACAAAAAATGTTATGAATCAACCTTTAATACAGGTTTTTATTTTATTCATTATTTTTATTTTCTGCTTTTATTATTATTATTTTAAAATTATTTTTTTTTTTTTTACAAATATGTATATAAGACTGTATAGAATAGTTAATTACATATAACGTTTCTAATATTTATTGAAAAATATTTATAAATTAATTTCAGGTTGAAGTTCACGCAAAGAAATCAGATCCATATGAAAATCAAGAAAAATGTATTTATAAAGGATTTTTTCTATCATGGAAGAAAAATGATTTACGTACCAATAATACGACTAGATTACCATTATTGATATGTCGTGGTACTCGTCCGTGTATGAACATTGTACATTCCACTTTCAATCGTATGTTTGATTGTCATATAATTGAATTACCTATCGAACAAGATGATTTGATTTGGTTACTTGCAATTATAATCTTACCTGTTAACGACGATGAAATTTCAAAAAAAAGTGAAGAAGTTAAATTGGAATTTACAGTTCCTGGATTACCAATTAATAATACGATTAGTGTTGAATTTAAAAAATTAGATCTGATTAAAATTTTAAATGCGTATGTTTCAATATTGTTACAATATTAATAACATTTAACTCTTTGCAATCCAAATGATTTTTGCTTTTCCATTTCAACTGGTCCACAACAGGATTGCTTTTTTTTGATATCAAAAAATTAATATCATTTTTAAATCTGTAACTAATGTTGTTAGTATAGTCCTATACTATTAAACTACCATTAAAAATTAAATTTTCATTGCTCATTCGCTTGATCAATTTTGTTTCACTCTAAAATATTTCTTTTTATTATATTTTCTTGTAAAAATTAGCATATCTACAGTGTAAAAGAACAGTTAAGTATTTAAAATTTGAGTAAACAACTCGTAAGAATTCATTGAAGTAAAATATGGTGTTAAGTCAAAATCGATATTGGACCGCAAAGGGTTAAAAAAGCTATATTTATTATAATTATATATTGAATATAAAAAAATTAACATTATAAATTAATTTACAGTATAATAGAAAATCAAAATGATGAAAGGGAAACGGATATAACGGACTTGACTATCGAACAAATTCAAAGATTTCGTAAGTGTTTATACATTCAAATAAAAAACATTGCTGGATTAGAATTAGGATTATGCAATTTACACAGAATTAGTTTGTCAGCCGCAACTATAATGGGCAACAAGGTTAGTTATTAATTGCGAATCGATTTTTAAGTTTAATAATATATTATTTACAAAAAAATTGAAGTTAGAAAGAGAGAGATAGAATTATAAATTATTAATTTATTACCATTTTTTAGATGAAGATAATGGACCCACATCGTGTAAAGCGTATATTATCATATATGACAGAGAAATCTGTAGACATGTTTCATGCATTTTTATAACAATTAATTTTAGTATGTGTTATATATTTTTTCTTCCTTTTATTTTTTATGTTTCTTTAACATTTTAATATTTCAATTTTTTAAATATTTCACTTCTTTTTAATATTGTATAAAGATAACATGTTTATAAATATTAAATAATATAATAATTACTTTTATATTTATATTGTTCATTTTTTCAGTCATCTATTATGTTTAAGGTAAAACTTATGTCATTTCGACTTCCTCATCCACAATATCCATCTATAACATATATAAAATAAATATTGTTTGAGTATTTGAAAAATTTGCATGAATGTGAAATATAAAAATGACATGGTACGCACTGATCAATTATAACAAATATTTGAATATTCTTGGTAATAATTATCTTGATAAAAATCTGTAGATATTTAATGTTTTTCAAACTTACACTAGTTGTCAATGGTTTTGCATTATTTTTCTTTTCCTTGAGATTCAATAAATAATGTCTGATATCTACATAACCATCAGGTTTATCGTCGAATGGAGATAAAGATATTCCAAGTATTTCAGGTAACATAAAAAGTTTCAACCATGTCACAAGAGGTGTATGACCTTTAGTGTATAGTCCATCACGATGATAAAATAATAATCCATCTAATGGTGCTAATGCATATAAATTTCCTAACGACGATTCAAGATTGCAATCAAAATTTATATGTGGAAGAAATAAAATAGGATATTTATTGTTACAGGTATCACCTTTTTGTAACTCTTGTATTTCTTGAAATTTTGATTTTAACCAAAAAAATCGAAATTCTGTCTGAAATGAAAAATATCATTAAAAAAGAAAATGAATCAATTAATTTCTTATAATATAAATTCAATGATATGAATAATATTATGTATTACATCACAATTTAAAAGGGATTGATTAGACCATGCCAGTACATCCAAAACATAATATGTTTTTCGATTTTCTACCCATATACAATCCAAAATAGTGCAACGACTATGATGTTCACTGGAACTTCCTCCTGGCAGTGCAGATTGAAATTTTCCTAGTCTGTTACCACGTCTATTAAAAGCCTTTGTTGTATTCTAGTAAAAGTAATAATAATGTTTTGATTTAGAATAAAATGTTTTACTATGTTTAAGGTAATATCAATGTATGCAATATATTTATTACATACTTTGTGCGCAATTAGTAAAGTTCTTTTGCCTTCGGGACAAGGAACTACAATCCATTTTTCTAGAATATCTTGAGGTGCTTCGAACATCCATTCTGACAGCATAAATTGATTCGCATAATGTTTACATCGTTCATATTTTTTCCAAGGCTTGTTGTAATGTTCAATTTCCATATATTCTTTATCTTCATTGTCAGAGTTAAAAATATCCAATATGTCTCGTCTAGTATTAAACACGATATTTCTATTTCTATAGAGATATAATTTCTTCAATTACCAAAAATGATAAATATTTATTTAAAAATAAACGAGAGAGAGAGAGAGAGAGAGAGATACATTTAACACTTATCCAAGCAGTTTCATTTTTTAATGTAAATTTACAATTGGAGTCCAATGGAATATTTATAAAAATAATACCTTATTTTTCAAATAAATTATAAACAATACTTTATAATAAATTACTTGTTAATATATATAATGAGAATTAAATGAGCTAATCAATATAGTTATTTTAAAATCATATAGTTTGTAATTTTCAACTCACTAAGAGTAAACCTGAAAGATTTCTGGAATGTTTACAAGAATAGTTCAAAATTTTAAATAGATTCTTACTACTAGCTTACTTTGTCAAACTATACAAAGTCTGATCTAAAAATATATTAAATCCATTGGACTCACCTTGCTTGAAAAAGTTTTAAGTAATATATTTACACTATTTTTCTAACCTATAATAATATTTACTTTTTTTGAATTTCTAAAAGTTGTTGTCGTCTCAACTCCTGAGGATTGTAAATGCTGTCAACATCTAATTTATAGTTATATTTTTTAATTGGTTTCTTGTAAAACGCAGATCGTATATTTTTACATTGTTTCTCGTTAGTATTTTCTAGGTTAATATCCATTGATGCCATAGTCTCACGTTTTTAAAATTCTTAATTATACTATAATAAATATTATTTGTATAATAAACAATGTATAACCTATAACTTCATCATATGTATAATGTAAATATCACTGTTTACTTGATTTATAATCCTGTGAATAAATGTATCATTTTAATTCATAAAAAAAATGAAGAAAGTTGTAGACCGAATGAAGAGAGAGTATAAGATCTGGTGGATCAATAATTAATTACAACTTTATTATGGTGTAAAACCGTATTCTTGGTTAATAGAAACCAAACTAATAATTTCGCTTCGAGCGCCGCATATATCCGGCATCCAAACATGCGTATACAAGTGCCATCTTTAATCAATAATAAATTTTTCGTTATCAACAGAACATTTTCTCTATTGATTTAATTAACAAATTGGATTAATCACTTCTTAAGCACAAAAAAGTTGGCATAGAACTTCAACAGCAAAAAAAATGAATAAGTTCTTTTAATTGCTTTCTTTATTAATTAATTATTTAATTAGTTATTAATAATTGAAAAACCAAAAACATCTTTCTCATTTCTAAGCAAAGCAATGAAGTTTTCTATTGTTTTTTGTTTTCAATCAATTGCTGACTTTTTGTTTGTCCGGCTCCTCAACTTTATTTTATCAAATATATTTTATTTATCGTTAATTAGTTGAAAATAATTTGTACACTTTGAATAATTATGAAATGGCGACGTCATGAGTGGAAGATATGTTATACGCATGCGCAACCACAAATTCAAGGCGCAAGCGCACTTTGAAAGAAAATGAAAGTAAAGTTGGTATACCCCTGCAGGGGGGATATATTTAAAAGAAAAATTATAATTTACAAAATATTTACCTATTTCTTTTCACTACCCTATAAGTTGTTACTTTGGAAATCAACTTTAAATAAGGCCCTAAGCGAAGCAGATCTTACTTTTATCGCTGTTTTCCAACTCCAAATATGAACGTAAAAAGGTAGAAAAGGTGCTTAAGTTGTAAGGCGCGTCAAATCTTATATGTTCAAAAAATTAACGCATAATATTGTAAGAAGAGTTAGCTATCTTTGGTCTGTATAGCACAAATTTGTGTATAAAAATTGTAATTAATTAAAAGTTTCGAGCATTTCGAATAATTTATATACAATACTTGTTTTTAAATCATTTTCATCATTGACAATAAAATTTACATAAACAAGATAACAACAATTTCATTATTTTACGTAGCCTAAGTAATAATATATATCCATAATAATATAATAAAATAAAATAAATTAAAAAAAAAATAATGATATATTCGTATTGCTAATTTAGGGTTACAGATAATTAAAGATGAATAAGAAATTGATGTATTTAAAATAGTTAACAGAAATCCTAATGTACAAACGTAAAACTGTATATAACCTGTGAACATATTTATCAACATTGCAAAGTCAATATCAATGGATGGAAAAATATATTTTAGATGACGTTTAAATAAGATGGCAAAGTAAATTGATTGAATAAATCAATCATTTAATGTATTCAGTTGATGACGCACAAGAGATATTATTGCAATAAATTACTCGAGATATAATTTCGTTTTTTTTCTGCTTTTTTATCTGCCATCGACTACTAAGAAAATTTCTTTTTAATTTTATTTCTACAAGGATTTAATTGCACTCGTCTTAATCGAGTTTATAATAACAATTTTTGTTTCTTTTTTACAGAGAAGCCTTACATGTTCTGTAAGTATTATGTTTTTAAACACTTTTGTCGGAAATATTACTTCTGATGCTTCTGTTACTGTCTCTCCTTTGAGGACCACGAGTTTGTCTTGTATTACGACCAGTTGTTGGTAATTCTCTGTCACTACCGACTCTCCTCAAGCTCGTGTCTCTGTCGATACGAGATTTGTTATTTTTCTGTACGGGACCTCGGATATTGGTATACACAATGTAAACAGCAAGAATACCAACGACGAACATTGCAACTCCTACGCCACTGACAGTACCGACCTATTGAACAAATTCAATTAATTCAAAACTTAAAATCAATTTTCTTTTCTTTTCTTTTCTTTAATTAAATAATTTCTTAGCTATGCCACAACTATGGAAGTAAATATTTTTCGTATAGAAAAAAAGAATGAAGTGTATATATCTCGACCGATAAGTGAAATTATTATTAATGTACGAGAACTTATACTTTTTTTTTATATTTTAATTTGAAATCGATTAAATATTTACGTATCGTACAGGAAAACATCAATTTTCGGTTTAGATAGACAAAAAATATGCAAACATATTCGGAAGTTGACCGGTTTTTCTTTTTTCGACGCAGTCGAAAAGTAACCCCTTTAATGTTTGCGTTTGCTATGAACAACGTATGAAAAAGTAAATATTTTCCATACGGGCAAACAATAGTTTGCGTATTTCTACCGGAAAGTGATATAATTATTTCTGCATGAGAAACTCTTTTACTCTGAAATTTTAAATTAATTAAAATATTTACGTCTCGATAACAAAATATCAATTTTAAGTTAAGATGCATAAATAATTATTTCCTGTAAAAGATATGCAGTGTAATTTTTTTTTAATTTTTGGTCTGTGTCCGCAAATGATCCTTTTCTGTAATAGAATTTTTGATTGCAAAAGAAAATAATTTACGGAAAAGTAAATATGTTTCGCATGAAACATCATTGGCATTCGGCAATAGAAAGTAATAAGAATTATTTTTAAACTAATTTTATCATTGAATACTCTGACCATAAAGTAGAGTATCTCAAATACTTTTGATTGTTTAGCAAAATATGTGAGAAGTACTTTATCCATAATAATTGAAATTTCTTTTGATCAGTTACTAAATTATCGATATGTATATATTCATCTATCGTTTCTTGAATTTTTGTCAGTAATGAGTTTAGTAAAGCAAATCTTACTGCTAATTCAATCTCTGATTAAGTGCATAATATTTTATCTTTTTCATCTGACCTACTTTAACCTCTTAATTTTTCCAAGAAAAACCTACAATATAACTAGGACATTACCATAAATTACAAAGTGGCAAAATAGGTTATAATGAAATTTGTTAAATTATTTCGTATTGATGCCAACAATGGTACCAGTTAAAATTATAAAATGTGAGCAATAATTTGTGATTTTAATGGTATTTGTAATAGATCGTACAAAAAAATACTACGTGCATTTCGAGCGGAAAGTGACTACCACTGTATTCACCATACTTCTTAACTTTCGTCTGGCGCCTTGGCCAAAAATATTTACGTCTCGTAAAGCAAAATATCATTTTCCTGTCTAGACCCACAAATAAAACTATTTACGAATAAGATAAGAAAGTAGGATTTTGTCTACGTTTATTCACCATAGTCCACCATTCGTTGTCATCCATTTCAGTAACGAGAACATGCGTAGAATCATGTTCGTGTTCATGAAGCATTTTCATTTCTTTCGTTGCACATCCAACTGGAGTCCCTTTTTCCTCTGATATGATTTTTTCAAAAACATCAGGAATACCGTCATCGTCTTCGTCATCGTCATTATTATTATTATCATTTTTATCGTCGTCATCGTTATCTTCTTCCCATTGTACCTTTACTTCATTTTTTTGTACAATCACGTTACCTAGATTATCTAATTTAGAACCTTTCTTTTTAATCAAAAGATCAAGAGATTGAGGTGCCTCTTGTGATTCTGCATTATGCGATATAATTACATTCGATAGAATGTTGTTCCAATCTACGGAGTTCATTGGATTCTTGCATTTTTTCTTTTTACTAAAAATAATAATAACATTATGAATAATAATTTAAGATAAAAATAGTAAAAATGAGAATGACTATTTTTAATATTTACCACACTAAATCGATTGCTTTAGTATAAATTTCAATCGCATCTTCGAGCCATCTTACTTCCCTTAACTCTTCGGCATCATATTTTCCGGTTCCTTCACCGTGAGACCACCATTTTGATTTATCGACCCTTGCTTCGAGTCCAGGTAATTCTTCTCTTTACGTAATACAATCATAACGTTTGTTACTATTTATTTATTAAAAGCACAGTTGCTAAAATATGGCTATTGAATTTAATATATTTTTTTTTATTAAAATCTTATTCATTATTTAAACTACTTTAAATGTTTCTTTAATACACATACATAAACTAATAAGATTATCTATGATAAAACATGAAAAAGTAAAAGATAATTAATTCAATTAAATTTATAATGTATTTTTATAAAAATAAATACTTTTCAATATACAGGATGTTTCACAATTTACTTTACTTAACTACCAAATTGTAATTTGTTTTTAACAAATATTTGGAGTCACGTAATCGTGGATCCATACATTTTTTAACAACACTATAACTGAAGGTTCATGTTTAGCGAAATGAACAACAAAATATTGCAATTATATTTAATAAACCAATATTGATCTTTTGTTTTTATTTTTATTTTTTTCAGTAAAGCGACTTTTAAGATACTGTATATGTCTTAATATTAAAAATGTAAAGATCATTACCTTGAATCTTCCAAAAGCAATATAGTATTAGATGTATCAACAGTATTAACGTGTTCCTCGAGATTGCCTTCGCTAACAATAAGAATAGTTGCGTTTACTAGTTTATTAAAGAATCCTTCGTCAGGTTGTCCAATATGTACAACATGCGACGTATAATCTACAAAAATAATCATTAACGTGACGTAAAATTTGTCGAAAATAATTAATTATCAGAGTTAATCAATAATTATTCATAATCTAATAATATTTTTTTTTCTACTAACTGTGCTGTCAGGTATTTATTTTGACGAAAAAAATATGCTTTACCTTTATCTTTCTCGTTGTCATCATCGTTGTCATCATTGTGAACAATAACGCACAAGTTCTTTGCAATAGCCGCCATAGTTAATTTCCTAGCAATATTCTGCACATCATCATCTAAATCTTCGTCACTATTAGCCACCAATGTGAATGATTTCCATTTTAGCATATCAATGACTTTTAAAACTCCCTAAAAATAATAATATTTCAAGTTTTATGTTATTTATATTCATAATGTATCTAATAACTTAAAGCTGCAAAATTGCATCTACAAATTTTCTGCAAAAACTCATATTACTTATTATTAAGTCTTGATAAACAAAGGAAAATTTATTCTATCTTACAAAAAAAACAAAATTATAATCGTGTCCAGTTATTAAGTACACGCTGTATAAAATTGTCAAACTCGTAATCCGCGCGAGCTGTTCATAACCCAATAGAATATTATCATAAATTATTACTAAGTTTACTCTTAGGGAAGTTGTTTTTTTGGACGGGTTTAATTAAGATGAACACTATATTTATCCGTTGAACGTTTCGTCTCT